CTATTAGTTTGGGATATTTCTTTTTTTCAAACCTGGAAGCTCAGTGAGATCAGACATTTCTTTGGCATTCAGAAGACCTCCAGCGAAACAAGGCGCTATAGGAAAAGTTCATTTCTTTTAGTTAAACTTATCTCTACCCTAGAATTTGGAGGGAAATTGCATCCGCGAGGGAGACTCCTTCAATTTTTATTTGAAGTATCTGGCACTGTCCACAGACAGAGATGAATTCTGGGCTAGAAGAGCCCACAGATCTGAACTGCTACAGAAATTCCTGCATTCTCTCTTTTACTCCCACCAGTATTATGTATCAATACTAATCCAGAATTGCATATAGGAAAACAAAGCTTGTATATAATTTATTTTTACAAACTTCATTCCTCCCCCTTTTTCCACCCTTGACTTCCTTCCTCCCCTGACTGCTCTAAAATTGCCTTATATCTAAAACTAAACTTTAAATAGGACCCATGTTTTCAATTGTTAAAAAACATCAAGGATGTTGCAGAAATAGATTTTGTATTTGCTACTCTCTCTTTCTAGTTTCAAACATATTGCAGGAAAACGTGTCCTTGACATTACTCTGTCACTGAGCATGGTTCATTCAATTTGGGCATGCTATGATGGAATAATTTCAGGCTGCTTTGCAGGTTATGTTTTTATCTATTGGTCACCTAATCTGGGGAAAAAGCACTTCTTGGGCTTCCAGCTTTAAAGCCAGCGGATTGAAAAATATTTGATTCTAAGTAAAATGCCAAGTGTGTTGGGCAGAAGTCTTTTTATTTTTTTTTTTTAACTGTCATTTTAGATTCCTTTTCTTTGCAAGTAATAATGGAATGGGCAGACAGAAAGGTCTGGGAAAACAGCACAATTGAAATCAGATATTTTCATATTTGTGTCATTTAAAATTGGACCAAATTTGCAGTGAATCAGATCAATTAATCTTAATGTCAATGCATTTGCCTGAATTTTTCTTGCCCCTAAAGTTTTGTTGATCACCAAGGCCGGCCTGAAAGCAACAATGAAAATATCTAAACAAATCCTTCCAGCATCATCATCACACAAGGCAGAAGGAACACAAAGCTCAGTGTCATGACCCCAGTCATCACTCCCACCAACACGCAAAGAAACAGATGAAGTCTTTCAATGAAACAGGACAGGGAGTTGGTTAAATAAGAAAAAGGGTTTGACAGTTCAAATATTTTGAAGTATTCCAAGCACAGCTTCTTCTTTGACAAAAGGAGGGGGATAGGGAGATGGGATAGGGAGTCAATTAGTTAAAAAGCAATGAAGTTCATGTGCAGGTGACTAGCAGTTAGGTCATTTTGGCTCTCATTTTGACTCTCATTTTGACAGCTTTTATTGCCCACTGCAACAGAGAACAAAGTTATCTCAGCCCAACATGGAGGCAATCTCCAAGATAGCCAGACGTGATGTCATTAACCGAAAGCAGCCCCTATCCCCCCAAGGTCTAAGCACTGTTTTCCTCTTCTGTCTGAATGAACTCCTTCTCCAGAACAGTCTTGATACAGCACAACAGTAAGACCTCACATCTGTGAGCATACCTTGAAATGCAGAGTTGGCCTGCCTGAGGTACTTTAAAAAGAAGTGTATTTTACAGTGCATTTGTGAATCACACACAAAGGCACACAATATGCAACAGAGCAGGAAGAGACACGGTCCTACTGAAGACTGAAAAGGACTTCAGTAGGCCTGTGTCAAGGAAGAACTTACTACAAACTGTCTGCAAGACCAGCATGTATCATGTTAAAAGTACTGGCAATAGTTGGTACTACAAAGACAACATGTTGACATGTGTAAACACCATCCCTGGTCAGCTGAGAGATCTACCAGAGATAAACTGCAGGAGAGGACATTCAGCTGGGGCTCCTCTTTCTCACACTGAAAGAGGAGAAGTTAAGGGAGTCATTTAGCATACAAATGAAATCACCTGTCAGACTGTGCCAAGAAAAGTCTCCCACAGCTCATTTCTCCCTTTACCTAATTTTTAACAATTTTAATATTCAAAACTGGTACCACTAAAAGAGTGTTTCTGACTTACTGACTAGCAGTGAGCCAAAATTCAAAACGAAGGGTGTGCCTGGAGTCAAGGTCAGAGGAAATCCTGTTGCATACAAGTGAGTACAGAAGAAGAATCTACCTCTACATATACAGAAGAATCTACATAAGGTTAAGCTTAGCTTGCAATACAGCTATAACCCAGCCTATTCATAATTTGACCTTCTCATTATCACATATTGCCTTATAAGACAGAAACACGTTCAAAAAACAGAAAGAGACTGGTCAAGTATAAAAGTAGTAGGTCACACTTAGTCTGGTAAAAACTACTTACACTTCCACAAGATGTGAGCTGAATGTGACATCCCACCCCTGTCTCACATGACAAAAAATGTCACCACTGAGGTAAGGAGGGAGGACTTGACGTTCATTTTCAGTCACTGTGGCTTTCAAACCCATGGTAGATGAAGGGCAAACACTAAGATTTCACATTTTAGGAAAATGACAGACTGACTGTTTGCCATCCAACCTAATTTCTTCACGACTGGCCTGTCAAACAAGCACCCGGAGCCTGAAGATACAGAACACATCAGCACAGAGTGCACATCACTTCTGCTGTCTGCTCAAGTACTCCAAAGTCAATGACACTAAGAGCGAAGGCTCAGATAGCACATAAGTCACTGCAGCCTCTTCATTACTCTTCTGTTCTTTCAAAAACTACCCTTCTGACAAGCTCTTTAAAATTCCATTTCAGCCTAAAAGCATGTTCTTTGAGAGATAAGGAAGCTGGAGATGATTTTGTTTGGCTTGTTTAGAAGTAGTATGGGTTTGGGATGTTTAAAATATTATGGGATGAATGTTATGAAACAATTAAATACTTAACCTTGTAAAAAGGGCTTCTCCTCTTGACAGATGCCAGGCCTTGTATACCTTACAGGCACTTTAGAAACAAGTTAAAGGATGCCAGCAATGCTGTGCAATAGTAACAGAACGTTCTAACTCTGAAAATTTGGGCAATAGGGAAAAAAAATAAATACATCAGAATACAGTTGACCAAATTGTACATTGTGGTCCACACATCTTACATTATAAAACATCCCATAGGATCTTTGAACAACTACAGATGCCTAGGAATTCGGGTTTAATCATTTAAAAAAAAAATCAATTGACAAGTATTCATTACAGAAAGTATGACTGTATGAAGGAGAATCCCAAAAATCTGGTTTGAAGTAGCTGTCAATCCTAACAGGCATATGAGGAAATATATGTAAAAGCCATTCTAAAAAAAGCCACAACTTCTCCAACAAAAAACCAACCACTATCCTTCATTAGTTATAATCTTTTCTCCTATAAATATTTGTTTCTGTTAATTGAAAGGAAATAGGTAAATTGGAAGCAAACCTTGCAAACAAAACTTGGGAGAAATCCATAAAACTATTTCATTGGTGGGTGCTGGCATAGATCAGGCCATGATTAAGTCTTGTCCAGGAATGTAGTACAGCCCAGATGTGATGTCTCCCTTAGCACTGCGAGAGACTCATATTTCCTACTGTCTTCTCACTGTCTTGGGAAGCAGCTGTGGCTTCACAGCTGTAGTTCTTGTTGTGAAGGTAACACACAGAGTCTGGCTGACTCTGTGGACTTGAAGCTGATAGATCATGATAAAATTACATAGCAAAACTTGCCAAAAACAGTAGGCTTCCACAAAAAATAGACAGCACATGTTTTAAAAACTTAACAGCGCATATTACATTATTTTTCATAGATAAGCATTGATATTTTACTGACCACTGATATTACTGGCTCATGCTAAAAGCCTTTTTGACTCGTGCATGTTTTGCAGATGTATAATCCTATGGTATAAGGCTATCACAGACCTGACATCTTCCCAGGTTTTCTCTGAACATTAAAAACTGCATGCACATATGTAACGTAGCATACACTTAGCTATGCGTCACTACCAAGAAATACATCTCATTAAAGAACAGTACTGCAAACAAGCTTTTATCTCAACTCTCCTTGATGATTCAATACAAAATGTGAAAGAAGGCATTTTGAGTTATTCAGACTTCTGCAACCTTCCTATATTAGAGGTCTTCACGTACATAGCAACATCAAGTCCATTTGAAAGAGCAACACGTTAACTCATATAAAATTAAACTTCAGGTTAAGAACAAAATTCCCTGAACAGAGTTAAAGTGGCAAACTCACTGGATTATAGACCATCTGTTGAGATACAAGGTCCAGTGGCTATATTTCTAAGCCTCTTATTCTCATGCTTCCTCCTTTGCATATCCTAAACATTTCTCAGCCATTTGGTCTCAGACACTGCATTTTGCACCACTCTTTCAAGCTACCCTAGCATCTCTAATGTATATAATACTGGAATATACATTTGTTGATTTAAATAACATTTTCCCAAAAATCTCACTACAGGAGCAAGTAAGAGAAAACATCTTCTATTAGACAGAAACCTTTTATATATGAATGAAGATTAACGGAATATAAAAGAGAAATACTATCCACTTTGCTGAATTAACATTTTTCAAAGGAGGAAAAGCGACAGGCTATTCATCTATGTCAGTACTCCCTATTCAAGACTAGAAATTACAATGCAATCTCTCATCTGTAAAAGTCTTTTGTGAAATGGCATGCAGCACACGTGTCCAAATGGTCAAATAAAGCACATCACAACTCGATCAGTTGCAACTGCCATAAAAATAGAGCTCATACCTATATTCATGTGCTACAAGCAGATGGCTGATTGCTTTTCTGTCCTCTCACACTGCAGTCCTGTTCCTTTAGATTCTCTCTTTGTAGAGAGTGACATGCTGCGAGGTCAGTTTTCTGACAAGGTCATCTGCCTTCAGTGCATGAAGAGAACTACACGGAAAGTGGGATGGGCTATATTTAGAGTTTGGTCCAACTCCGTGCCAAGGTCCCCCCGCTGTCTCTCCCATGCAGCACTGTCTCAGGTTTATTCCTGTAGCCTCAGCCCACAGAATAAACGAAGGGAGAAAAACCATTCTGTGCTACTACTTACCGGAGCTGGGTTTTGGCAATTCAGTAGAACAAGTGGATCAGGAGCTCAGATATAATTCCTTGAATCCCTTGCTTCCTTATTATTTAAAGTCTTTTTTTTTTTTTTTTTTTTTTTTTTTTTCAATTTATTCAAGTGGATTTTCCCTTTTCAAGTGAATAAGCAGAGGGAACTGCCTGGGATACATCAGAAATAAGCCTCCTGAGCTGAGGTAAGCTTGCTTTATTTTTGTGCTGTCACTGTAATTAGAAAACAACTGAGGATGACTTGGACCAAATACGCTTTCTCTGCTAGACTAGTTCTGTGTGTCAACATTAACATTTGGGGGGAGGAGGGGGATAACAAACATCTCAATTTCATATCACCATTTTTCATTATCTCTGTGTAAAGGAAATTAGAAAATAAGAGGATATCAGCATGTGCAATAGAAGATATAGTATGATTTCACCCATTTCATTTAAAAAGTACGTAGTCAAGCAGGCAGATGATATAATTCTGAAAGTAACAGAGAAGCAGATGATTGCCTACATGCATGATGATTCTATATGCAAGTGTGCATTTAGATGTGCTGAAAGATGTTTTATGTGCATTATTTTGTACAATATGAGAATATATGGCTTCAATATTGCAAATATAGGGCTTTAGGCAAATAGTATAGTTAAAAAAAATAATTCATAGAGGAACACATGCTCTAATTTCTTCACAAGCCCAAAGAATTTGCCCAACTGCAGCCCTAGTACAGGCAAGACTGAAGATCATGTTCAATTTAGTCTCCTTTTCACAGAACACTTTACATGAGTCCTGCATTGTCTTTCCTTTAAAAGCATATATGGACAAACAGCTTTCCTCAGCACTGCTTTAAACTGCTGTGACTCAAATGAAAAAAAAAAAGCAAAAAACCTAATCACCAGGAAAGAATATAACACAGCATGCTTGACTGTAAGATCAACTAACACACTTCAAGTCACATGGACATCATGATCCCGTGGTGTGCAGTCCAACACGGGGAAGCTGTTGCCACACAAAGACAATCTGGAGTCATGGTGCACTCCAGTGTGCATACACACACACACACATCATCACCATAGAGTCCTCCAAGGCAAACACAGAGTAATGGTGAAGAAATGGGGTTGAAAGGTCCTCTTGACCCACAGGACCAAACCACTGCACCAAAAAGCTTTTGGTTACAAAAGCACCATGCATGAGTCCCAAGCAGAAGCATCTGAAGAGGTAGATGGGTTCCACACTAACAGTAAACAAAGCGAGCAACTGAATGGATTCCTGTGCTTAGTTCAGTCTTCTTTCCTTAATCAGCTTAACTGCTGATTACATGCCTTACATGAGGCTGAATAAAGTAAAAGCTTACATGGCCGCATAAACCTCACCTGCTGAAGAAACACCTGATTCTGGTTACTCTCAACTCTGTATAGGACCATCTGACCTTCCTTTACTTCTGCTTTTTGTTTGACAATTTATGCTCAGCATGAACATTAAGTTTATTTGGAGGTTATTATAAAGACCATCTATTTTGCATAAATTTCCTTCTAGATTCTTTAGCAAATGATAATTAGGGCAACATACCAAGGAGCTAATTTGAGCTGTGTGGCATGTGACAGTCCTGAGCTGTGTGGCATGTGACAGATCAGACTCATCCAGAAGGTTTCCACTGCAAGAATTTGGAGGAAGCTCTTACATGTGGACCATTGAAGCAATGTGAATGCATTCATGAAGTTCATCAGTAATCAGGAGGCTTCGTAGTATAAAAGCAATGAGTGCTAAGATTGGTAACAGTCTTCAATAAACAACTGTCATCTCTGACAGAAAAGAGAAGAAACAAATGCAGCTTTATAAATTTCTAAAGTCAGTTTTTCTTGAAGTTACTGTTTAATGAGCCCATGTAGGTTTTACAACAATCTGCAGCACCTGTTCTCTGTATGTGGGAAAATGTTATTCCCCTGTCAGTGTAACAGACATTGCAGGCTTAAAAAAGCATGACGCATGTGAACATAGCCTGCAAATACAGCATTCACACAGAAACCCTGCCAGTGGCAGCGGGGGCTAGCTAGTCCAGAGCTCAGCTGAAAAGGTCTCTGTTACAGAAACTGGTTCGTTTGCATGTGGGTGACAAGGTGAGAGCAATGGGAAATGGCAATATCACTGTCATGATAAATATGAGTCAGACATTAGAAGTAGGAAGAAGTAGGAGAGAAACGCACATGAATGAGCAAGCCTCATTGTTCTACTGTGGACAAACTTCAATCTGCCTCTAATCTCCTCCCTGTTGGGGCCAGTCCCTCCTGGTAGCATCCTTCTCTTCCTCATATCTCCCCTCCATTAAATTTCCAGCACCAGAATGAGCTGGCTTCATCCTGCTAAAGTAGAGACCGGGGGAGGAGGGAAGGGAGGTAGGAAGAAAAAAGAAAAAGAAAAAGAAAGAAAAGATCTTTATTTCCTCAACCATTGAAGGAAAGTAAGGCTGAAACCCCGTTTCTACTTAGGAAGCAAAGGCGGCCTCAGATGGGGCTGATACCCACTTTCCTCACTGGTGGTGGGACCAAAACCTCATGCTCATGGTTGTGGAGGAGGAGGAAGAGAAGGCATGGCTTATGATGTACACTACCAGTTGGCCAGGCAAAGCTCCAAGGGGACAGTCACGGACTGCTGGCACTGATGCTGTCACCCTCAGCTGACAGGTGTACGTAGAACTTGAGCCAGGTGGGTAAATCCAAACAGCACTGGGGGGGTGAGAAATTCCCTGTAGCAGTTAGATTCCTACTACTGTGTGTAATATTTATAAGCCTGCTCTGGCGGCTTTCTTCTGGTGCAACTGAACAGCAAATGGTGCTGGGATTTTCCTCCTTCCTCAGCCTCTGGCTGTTCCTCAGCCAAACCAAGCTGAAGAAACAAGCTGGGGTTTTGAGGGAAGACTAAGCGATCTCAGCTCATCCTGAAACAAGTACCCTTAGTCATTGGGCAGAGAGGCCCTGCCATATGCTGCAGCCTATCTGACACACAGCTCCAGAGTTAGACAGTGGACAGAGGTGGGTTTGAGTCCCATCGCCATCACTGCATAGTTGGTGCTGCAGCCAGCATCTAGACAGGGATACCTCAAAGAATGGAATAGACAGCAAGAAGAGTGAAGGTGGCACTTAGAGAGACAGCCCAAAATATGTGGGCACAGTTCTCTGGGTGTATGTCTGTGCGAGGAGGGGATACTGTATTTGATGGGCAAATGAATTGCTACAGCTGCAGAAGGAGCTATAGGTCAACATCTGCAGACAAATTCTCTTTCAAAACCTCTCATAATTACTGTCATGATTCCTGAGTTGTCATGGCTCCCAAACTGTTGTGACTGACATCAATCTAGGAAGAGAGAGGTAGAGGAGGATGTCCCAGTGTGTGCTTTACAGGAAAGAGATACTTACGTGCAGAAAACAAAAGAATCACAAAGCTGAAGTGAAGCAAATGGTTAGTTAAATAATTTAAGTTGTTCTGCTGAAGAGTGTTTTCTCAAGGCTGAATGGTAACAGCGAAGGGGGAAAAAAATCAAAGTCCACAGCCCCAAGCTTTGTCTGACCTGCTTTCACAAGGCTCTCCGCAAGTATAAGGGGAAAAAAAAAAAACCACAAACCCACAATAAAACCCCTCCAAATGGGTCCCTGTTTCTATTTTGCTCTCTTTGAGAAATAGGGATACCAATTTGCAGAGAAAAAAAAACTCTGAGGTGAGCAACAACCTCCCAAGTCTGCATTTTCCTGCAGACCGATTGGACTTGGGACTAATGGTCACCAACACTGGTTTTCAAGATTTGCATGAGAAAATACTACTCATCACCTAAATAAACTCACTCCTTTCTACCCAAGGCAGAGGAAGATTTTACGCTTATGTCTAAGCAGAATGGGGCATAGACAGGAATCCACTGAAGACATCACCAGGCTCTCTAGGCCTGCAGCCCTGCATGGCCTGACACAACCTGCCAAGCCGCTCCCTCACAATCTCTGGGCATGGGCACCACCTGCACAGTTTTATGGGCATCAGAAAGCATCCTAGCCTTATTTCTATAATGCCTCCACTAGCTACGGTCTTTTGTGCATGTCTCCACGTTGAAACAGAAAGCTGGGCTGGTCCCACTTCAAGAGGAAGGTGCAGAAATGGCCAGACCTCACCTCAGAAAGTGACAATGGGTGCAGTTAAGGACGCAGCAGATGCAGTCCACTTTCCTCTCATCATGCCTGCATCTCTCTTGCAGTCACAGAAATATACATGCATATACGTAACACAGCTGTGTACAGACATATGATGAAGCTTCATGGGGTGGAGACCTACTCCCTGTCCACTAAGAGCAAAACATAGTATGGGGGGAGCTAAAATGAAGCATCTCTTCCAAAAAAACATAGTTGTCTTATATGAAATCCCAGTTTGGCTAGATGAAATGGAGAGCAACTATGACAATTTTGCTTAAAAACAGTGATGAGATTGAAAATAAGCAACTGGAAGTAGTTCACCTGCAATATCATAAAAGGGTGCAGTGGTATGAGAGAGCTTGTATATACCCAGGAGTGTTTGTCTCTACTTGAAAATATGCTTTCAAAAGAATGTAAAAATTGAGGATGTGCAGCTGGTTACTTGCATGGGTTATTTTTTCATTTTCACAGAGCAGTCCCCAGGTCCCAGCTTACAGACAGGTACAGAAGTAATCTGTAAACAGAGGGCTCCATTGGAGTGCACATTTGTACAGGTGTAGCATAGGCACACGGCACACCAATCAAAAAGATCTCTGCTTGAGAGGAAAAAAAGGGAGCTTGAGAGGAGCTGAGAACCTGGGAAAGCAAAGCACAGCAAAAGCTGTGAGAACACTCTCTCTAAGAATAGTGTCTGCATGCCTTTCTGCTGCTCTGTGACATCTGCCAAGGAAAAGGATTACAGGCAATGCTAGACGGTACCAGTGCACTTCATTTTAACATATAATTAAGTTCAAAACAAGTCCCAGTAAAAATTCCACCTACACAGTGTGGCACAGTCAGGCAGGAAGAAACGCTTCAAACTGGTACTACATTAAAATGTCTCACACAAATTTCTTGTCTTCCATTACATAATACTAAATTATTTCAAACCTCAGCAAATTTACAGTGATTACTGCTGGGCCTCCAAAGTCAAAGAAAGAAATCCAACAACACTGAATTCTTTTGTCTCAAACATCATAGAGTGAAA